GTGTACCTTTAACCCCCACCTCTGGCCTGCTGGAAAGAGATTAACGACTGCTAAGTTTCTGCACATTTATTGAAACAAAAGGTCCAAACTTTTTACCAGCCAGACGCTAGGTACCTGTCGCTATTGACCATAAATTGTGACGTGCCCATGCTCAGGAGTGCGTTTCTCTGACAGCCATTAAATTTCTAGTGATTGGTGATAGGCTACAAAACTTTGGTAACAAGGATAGAAATCTGTAGCTGATACAAACTATAGGCTGTTGTGACCGATTATGGTGACAGCTATTTTAAGACAAGGCTACAATTGAACCAGGAGTAGGTATTCGTGAATTTTAGTTCCAGGAGTTGTACCTGTGGTGGGCAGGATTTTTGAGACATACAATGTAACACCTTGTTAGCTTTTATAAATTATAAGTGTATCAGCCTGATCACCTGTTTAACAGTACGTTGGACAACCTGTGCAGTGCCTCCAAAATGTAACCAATATCTTGTTTTAAAGTTCACTGCTCAAAGCTCTTAAAATTCCCAGTGAATGCCTTCTGTCAAGAACCATGTCATTTGAAAATATGTGCACCTAGTCATCAGAGAACTCAGGGAATTGGGAACATTACACAGCAGGCATCTTCATGTAGTGTGCATCAAAATTCAGGTTCAAAACGCAAATATTAAAAAGACGGGAATCATTTCAGCTTGTCTGATTGCTTCTGGGGACAGATCTCTGGGTGGGGGTGAGATGGTTTTACTGACCGTATTCTCTGCTTACCCGGCCGAGTTTATAATCTGCAAATAGAAAGCACGTTTCCAAAAACATTTTAATTTCAAAAGTTCCAATTCAGTGGTTTGGCCTCAGGGTAACATTGCATCTGAATGTAGTGAATAAAGGTTTTGTCATAAAAAGGTTTCCCAGAAAAGTCAGTTACTGAGTGAGTTGGAATTAGATTTTCTGAAAGCTTCAGAAAGAATAAACTTTATTTTCGTACAAATCAGAAAAGCAAAAATGCTAAGAACGAAATGTGAATGATAGAACTCTGCTTAATAAATAAAGTCATTTATCACATGTTAACGACTCTACAGACAATACAGAAATTATTAGAGACTTCATAATCGGATTCTAAAAGTTTATTCAAAGATATTAAAACATTTGCAAAGACCCTGAGGAGTCAGGCAATGCCTAGACAGAACAGGAACATGTGATGGAGGGGAGTGTATAGAGGGAAATAATGGTGGTCATAAGAATGGTGGGTGGAGGGGTGTGAAAGTATAAATAGGAGGGCATTTTGCAGGCCAAGGAGCCATCTTAAATTATCAGTTGGTAACAGCTTCCCGCTCTCCCTCCCCTTGTGATGTTTTCTTGGTTGTCTCTTGTTTGTTTTGTCACAACTTGGTGGTAAATGGCCTTTGCCAACTGGGGGTTGGACCAGCGGTCCGTGGAAAGATGTATGGTCGTGGCTGATCCCTCCCGTAAACTCAGGTACAGATAACAGACGTGCCCACTAGCCAATGCTAGTGGTTAGCATTACGAGAATGGAAGGCCCAAGAAAGTCCTTTGTCCTGGTCGGGACAAGGGTGGAGGGCAGTTGCCCAAGTGATTATGTTTGGTTGGCAAGGTGGTACTCAGTGACATTACTTATTTAATGAGTATGTTAAATATTACGTTAATATGTTATATAGTTGATGTTCAAGGTATATATATATATATATATTTAAAATATTTGAAAAAAGCTGTGGCCTATTTTCACCAAGTAAGGCTGTGGTTTGGTTATTTCGGGTAAGTAAGGGGGGAGTGGAGATTAGCGGAAGGGTTCTAGTTATTGACCATACACAATACCCTCTACCTACGCACAAGCTTATTGGGAAATAATAAAATGAGGGCTATATTCCTGATGAATTAAGTGTTCCCATACTAATGTATGTAAGCATGACATAGAGGAATTATTACCATACATTACAATTAATATTATACATTACAATTTATATTATACAATTCAATTAATACCATTTGTGTTCGGGGCATTCTCATATGATATAGAATAAGATGGGTTGTAGAGATGTAGCTTTAGGAATAATCGGTTGAGGTGTGCCGAAACCGACGTATGCTGTAAGCCGGTAAAAAGTGGGCTTACATAGAGGAAATATGAACAATGGGAGTGGAGGGTGGGGCTATTCGTCTGACCAACAAAGGTAAGTAGGGAGAGGGGGGAGTCCCTTTTATAGGTCTATAGCCCCTCCCACAATTTCAGGCCATGCCTTGCAATTTGTGTTCGGGGCATTCTCATATGATATAGAATAAGATGGGTTGTAGAGATGTAGCTTTAGGAATAATCGGTTGAGGTGTGCCAAAACCGACGTATGCTGTAAGCCGGTAAAAAGTGGGCAAAAAGAGAAATATTAATGCAAAACATTATACAGGATCATAGTGCATTTGTTAACCATCAGTTAGACATTTTAATGAAAGCGTCCTAATTCCTGAATCGGCTGTGGTATGTACATCGCATAAGCCTATGATTCCCAGCGGCCCCGTGTCTTAACGTGTGCTGGGATGTCTTGGCTATGGGCTGTGTAAGCTGCTCCTATCCAAAAGGAGTGCCCTGAGTAGTCGCTAGGGTTTAGTTTGAGCACGATGAATGAGTAGGTGGACATAGTGCATGAACTTACCTGTGGTAAGGACAGTATCGTACAGCGACAGTAATGGTTCAGTGGTGCGTATGGTGGCGTGCCCAAGAACGTAATCAGTACCTTAACCGGGCACCCAGCATTGCTTGTAAGGTAGTAGGTTATATGCACTGGCTCGCCCCTCTGACTCATCTTAGTTTTAGGAAGGGACCGGACATAGTGGTCTGTGTGTTTTAGAGGATAAGAGGTCACCAGGCACTCTTGTTTATGATGTTGGCCGCTGATAGTGAGTGATTGTTTTGGCCTGAGAAAGCCGTTAAAGGCTAGATAGGTAGCAGTTTTGATAACTGCATTGGTGCGTGGCTCGGAAGTGCATGGTCGAGTGGTTCTGTCATGGTTTGAAAATTGTATGTCTATGGCCAGTATTTAGTTTTAGCGGGAACGTCCGCTTGGCCATGTCTCTAAGTAAGGCATGTATGGGGTAGGAGGATAGGAAGCCTTGTTGTTTGGGATGGAGAAATACGTATAGGGTTGAATGCCCGTGAGATAAAGTTTAACCGTGTTGTGCGAGAATTATTAATTTAAGGTGGCAAAAATAGGCGAAGGCCATACGTGGTGAAACCTCAAACCAGCTATCTAAGTGATAGTCCGACATGAAACATATTGTATAAGTGGAAAACCCTGTAGCAAGCGTGTTGAGTGCTGGTGGACAAGGCCAGTTTAGTCAGAGCCCGGCTATGTTGGCGAGGTTCATGTAATCCATGACCATAAATGACCCCCTGCCATGGCGGCTGTCATGGCAGCTGCCACAATAATTTACCATTACGTGTGGTTAAGAAAGTCCACCATATGTGTAGGTCTGCCATGGCTTGGTTGTCTAGGGACAGCCCCTGATCATCATTCGGGAGGGAGGAAAAAGCAAAGTGGTCTGAGATGAAAGCATGGCCTGCGGTACGATGTGCATGGCAAAATTTAAGGAACCTGGTAGGGATTGTAGTTCCATGTGGTTGCAAGTACCAAGCAGGAGGTGGTAATTGGTGTTGTTGCGACTGTTCCTATTTCTCGCGTGGTAATTTGTTGGTATGGATGCCGAGTCAAGTTGTATGCCCAGGAATGTAACGACAGTGTCTGGGTCTTCTGTGACCTTAGGGAATACTGGGACACCCAAGTGTTCAGACATACTAATGGCTTTCTTGAAGCTTCTAGAGGGAAAGGCATTCCCTTTGACCAACAAGAAATCATCTCAGGAGTGTATGACTGTGGGGCATCTGGATATGTTTAACCACAACCAGTAAAGAGTTCAACGAATATATTGAAGATTGTGGGCTGCTCTTGACCCGAAAGTTAAGCGGGAGAAGAAATATATAACTGCTGCCCATAAATGCCCTGTAAGTGCCAGTGCAGGGTGGATGGTGGCAGTCTGAAATGCGTTTGTGATATCAGTTTTACTTAACCCGGCTTCCCCTCCCTGCTTGAGTGATAGTTGTCATGGTATGAACAATGGTGGCATACTGTAATGAAAACTCCTCGGAGGGTATGAGGGAGTTGAGATTATGGGGTAGTCGAGGCGTGAGGTGCAGATAAGTCTATGATCAGTTACAGTGTGAGGGAAGATTCCCTGTGACAATCCCAATGGGATTGCGCCACACTGTAAATGGTGTAGATCGGAGAGGCCCAGGTAGAAATATTTCTGCCATTTCTTGGGCCCTGAGTGTAATGCCAGCTGTTGGATGCTGCTGTGATGACTGCAAGTTAGGGCATTCTAGATTTCCCCAAAAGTATATGGCAATACCTGAACAGAAGGCCTTTAAAATCGGAGATTAGGAAATAAACTAAATGTCTGGAAGGGTGATAAGTTAGAAAGTACTGGAAATGCATAATGTTTACAGACGAGAAGTAAGGTTCAGGGTACATTTATTGGGACACATGGTTTTGCATGTGCCCTGACATATTGGGAACATATCTGCAACAGTCTGCATGCACTGAAACTACATGTGCCAACATGGAAATTGTTGCAAATCTGGGATTTGCCAAAGAGAATGAGACGACCCAATTTGTCTCTGGTAGTTCTCTATGTACTACCAGAGGTGCTAGAGCCTGGAGCCTGAAACGTGATCGTCCACTGTGTTGGGACAAAATTGTCCTGTGGGACTAGCAACATCTCCAAGTGAAAGTGTGTTGACTCTAGCTGGAGTGTTAGGTAGAGAGAAATCATTACCACCTGCTTGATACATACTAAAAAATATGAAGATAGCCATTATTATATGAACCCACAGTGTGCTAGTACTGGCTTGCTAGCTAAAGCCGCAAGGCGAAACAATTAATCCTTTGTTTGGTGACAGGTGAGGCCCTGCTAGTTGCCAAGTGGCTTGAGAGGCTCTATCTATGCAATGGCGCGAGGGGATTTTTGTGGCCACCAAACGTAGTGGCAGGATGTTGGCCTCTCGGTGACTGTAACCATAAAAAAGGGGAAGGGAGTGACAGGTGAGGTCCTCTCTATATGCGAGGCGGCTAACTCACGAGTGGCCCGATGGGTGTTTGCCTCCGAGCGTTGAGGCGGGGTGTTGGCCTCGCGGGACCACTATACGACAGGCGTAGATGCCAAGAAAGGAAAATATCTATTGGAAACCTATAGTCCCTAATTGCCAGTACGCTAAGGATATACCCAGGGGGAAACAGAAAATATATGTATATACCACATGAGCAGGTGTATGTACCTGGTAGTATGATTAGATACCCTTACTGGTCGTAAAGGTTATTAATACCTGTATCCCAGACGGGTAAAACAATGTATGAAAATCGAATATAGACATTTAAAAGCGTATATCCATATGTGTGTTATGCAAGTTTAATAGAGCAAAGTGCTCTGTCCCAATGTTTATTGTATGCTTGTAATGCCCCTGCTTGAAGGAAATTAACTTGTCGGGAGTGTTATATCATGTGTGATATGGAACACAACTGTACCCTGAAACATGAGTGTAGTGAACCATGACTGGCAGCTGAATAACCTAATAAGTGAAAATACATAATTGGAAGGACTTATATTTTAAGCGTGCAAATATTCCATATTAGACTCTGGAAAACTGCATAGTGCTTTAAATAGTATGTGTATTCTTGGGTAAATGTATGCGTATTGTCAGTAAATGTAACTAAATGCCTATGAAGGCAGGTATGCAGGAATGATATAGTAAGCATGATTTATAAGGAAGTGTTATTGTGTAATTATAATTATAGTGGGAATGTTATGAGGGGAATAACCATATGTCTGAAAAGCCTGTAGTATACCGTTTGACAGATAGAAGTCAGTATAAAAGTGAAAATGCTGTAGTTAGTTTGTTTGCTTATGAAGTGAAATAAAGTCTGAGAAGCCTGTAGTGCACTGAATGACCGGTAAGGGTCAGCATGTAGGCAAAAATGCCGTGGTTCGTTGGTTTGTACATGAAATGCAATAATGTCTGAGAAGCCTGTAGTACACCGAATGACCGGTAGGGGTCAGTGTGTAGGCACAAATGCAGTGGTTCGTTGGTTTGTACATGAAATGCAATAATGTCTGAGATGCCTGTAGTTACACCAAATGACTGGTAGGGGTCAGTGTCTTGGTGAAAATGCAGTGAAAATGCAGTGGTTTGTACATGAAATGCAAAAACTTCTAAGAAGCCTATAGTACACCGAATGACCGATAGGGGTCAGTGTCTAGGTGAAAATGCAGTGGTTTGTTGGTTTGTACATGAAATGCAATAATATCTGAGAAGCCTGTAGTACACTGAATGACTGGTAGGGGTCAGTGTGTAGGTTAAAATGCAGTGGTTAATTGGTTTGTACATGAAATGCAAAAACGTCTAAGAAGCCTATAGTACACCGAATGACCGATAGGGGTCAGTGTCTAGGTGAAAATGCAGTGGTTCCTTGGTTTGTACATGAAATGCAATAATATCTGAGAAGCCTGTAGTACACCGAATGACCGATAGGGGTCAGTGTGTAGGCGCAAATGCAGTGGTTCGTTGGTTTGTAGATGAAATGCAATAATGTCTGAGATGCCTGTAGTACCCGAATGACCGGTAGGGGTCAGTGTCTAGATGAAAATGCAGTGGTTCGTTGGTTTGTACATGAAATGCAATAATGTCTAAGAAGCCTGTAGTACACCGAATGACCGGTAGGGGTCAGTGTGTAGGCGCAAATGCAGTGGTTCGTTGGTTTGTACATGAAATACAATAGTGTCTGAGATGCCTGTAGTTACACCAAATGACTGGTAGGGGTCAGTGTCTTGGTGAAAATGCAGTGGTTTGTACATGAAATGCAAAAACGTCTAAGAACCTGTAGTACACCGATGACCGATAGGGGTCAGTGTGTAGGCACAAATGCAGTGGTTCGTACATGAAATGCAATAATGTCTGAGATGCCTGTAGTACACAGAATGACCGGTAGGGGTCAGTGTCTTGGTGAAAATGCAGTGAAAATGCAGTGGTTTGTACATGAAATGCAAAAAGTCTAAAAAACCTGTAGTACACCGATGACCGATAGGGGTCAGTATGTAGGCACAAATGCAGTGGTTCGTACATGAAATGCAATAATGTCTGAGATGCCTGTAGTACACAGAATGACCGGTAGGGGTCAGTGTCTTGGTGAAAATGCAGTGAAAATGCAGTGGTTTGTACATGAAATGCAAAAAGTCTAAAAACCTGTAGTACACCGATGACCGATAGGGGTCAGTATGTAGGCACAAATGCAGTGGTTCGTACATGAAATGCAATAATGTCTGAGATGCCTGTAGTACACAGAATGACCGGTAGGGGTCAGTGTCTTGGTGAAAATGCAGTGAAAATGCAGTGGTTTGTACATGAAATGCAAAAACGTCTAAGAAACCTGTAGTACACCGATGACCGATAGGGGTCAGTGTGTAGGCCCAAATGCAGTGGTTTGTACATGAAATGCAATAATATCTGAGAAGCCTGTACTACATTGAATGAGGACCGATAGGGGTCAGTGTGTAGGCGAAAAAATTGTATGTCGTTTGTAGTTTTAACCCAACAGATTTTTAACCAAAACAGATTTTTAACCAACAGATTTTACATAAACAGCTAGGTGAGTATAAGGTAACGAAATAACCGTGCAAAACGAAAGGAAACCGTAAAGTGAGGACCCGTGCTGTGTTGAACGCCGTGGGAACTAATCCTGGCGCGACAGGTGGGTCAACTTACGGTTTGAGAGTCCCTGAGACACCAAATGCGATGCTGACCGGAGAGAAAGCCACTGGATTAACGGAAATCCCTGCTGCAGGATTCATGGACACAGCTTGGAGTAAGAGACCTCATGGAGCAAAGGTGAAACCAAAATGGCGTCTTGTATGACCTGGAAGTGGATCTCATGCAAATGCTGACCTTGAACAGTCTATTCGTCTGACCAACAAAGGTAAGTAGGGAGAGGGGGAGTCCCTTTTATAGGTCTATAGCCCCTCCCACAACTTCAGGCCATGCCTTCCAATATGTGACAAACTCCCCTTTTTAAGGGAGTTTGCCATAAATTTTTGGAGGGGCCTGCTTGCCCACCTCCTGCCCTGTGACTATGGCCCCTGGGGGTATTGCCGTTTAAAAACCCTAGTTGGGCTTATAGGGTTTAATACACTCTTTCTGCCCCTTTAAAATCCTGTGGTAAAGGATCTGCCCTTTTCAAATGGCACTTCAAATACAGCCGAAGAGCCGAAGTAGTCGAAGTGGCCACCATTCGACATACGAACGCGTGGCGGTGGCCATTTGAATTCAGTCGAATGCGTTCAGCTGTGTTTGGTCGTCGAGTTCATGGAACTCAAATCGGATACGCAACGGCACGAACACCGCTGAACTTCAAGACTTCGACGGAAATCGAAGTGCGTTCAAATAATCGAACTCCTTGTTAACAGTGGATGTCTGCACGAACGGCTCCCATTCTTGCATTCGAACGGAACTTAGCATTTGAAACTATTGGAAACAGACCGGGCGCACAGCAAAATTCTGTAGAACTATTTTGGGCATGAAAGCCATGCTTGCGGTCGGTCAAATGTGACTTCCATGGAACTCTTGAACCCCTGCTCTGGGTGATTTTTGGATAGGTTGTTCACCCAGATTAGGGCTATGTAGGGATATAATTTATGGGGATATGTTGTTTTTTTGGGTACTTTTTGGGGTTTGTATAAAGGTATGTTTTTTCTGCCTGTGGATAATTAAGTTATTCCATTAGCTAGCTTAATTATATCACAGGCAGAGAGGAGGGCTTATACAAGATAGGTGGTTTAGGGATTCTGCTAGTGTGCCTAAAATAAAGGACAAAACATAGTGCAATATTGTCTGGAAGTGTTAATATATAATACTGCATTACACTCACAAATTCCAGATGATAAGAGCGTATTATAGGTGCCTCCCCACGATGTGGATGGGGGGTTACAAATCCACCTTCGATGATGACCGTAGGGTGCCCCGGCTACCAGGATGATCCAACAATCCAGCCAAACGCAAGCTCCCAAACAACGGTTTTATTCATACAAACACAGTATGGAGGAAAAATAAATGCATAAAACAAATATAAAAACAATATAAAAAGTTCACAGGTCCCAAGCATTTCGTTCTTTGCCAAGAACTTCCTCAGGGACCACTTTTGTATAAAACAGCAATCAATATGCAACAAACCAAAAGGCAATCTAACATACCACTCTCCCCAGTCCTCTATAAATAGGGCTAGTCTTCTCATTTGCTCGTGGATTTCCACTCCATGTGTAACTCCTTAACCGGCAACGAGCAGCTTCTCCGTATTATCACCATGCACTTCTGTGTTTAATCACGTGTTCCGCTTGTGTTCCACGTGGCGTACATCCAACATGGCCGTGCGTTCCAAATAATGAAGATATTACAGACAAGAGGACTGTTAGTACAAATCTCATATCGTTATAGCCAATAGAGCAGTTCGTCCTTCATGTAAATTATATGTAAAAACAATATAAAAATCATAACAAACAGCTTCCTATCCAAGCATCCGATTCATTTATATACAAACTTAGTAATTAATGTTGCCACTTCTCATACTTCATAGTAATTTTGTCCCAAATTCATATATGAATTAGTACATAATAAGTGACATACTTACTATTGTGAAAAATAAATGTGTATATAAACCATTATACAGGGAGTGCAGAATTATTAGGCAAGTTGTATTTTTGAGGATTAATTTTATTATTGAACAACAACCATGTTCTCAATGAACCCAAAAAACTCATTAATATCAAAGCTGAATATTTTTGGAAGTAGTTTTTAGTTTGTTTTTAGTTATAGCTATGTTAGGGGGATATCTGTGTGTGCAGGTGACTATTACTGTGCATAATTATTAGGCAACTTAACAAAAAACAAATATATACCCATTTCAATTATTTATTATTACCAGTGAAACCAATATAACATCTCAACATTCACAAATATACATTTCTGACATTCAAAACAAAACAAAAACAAATCAGTGACCAATATAGCCACCTTTCTTTGCAAGGACACTCAAAAGCCTGCCATCCATGGATTCTGTCAGTGTTTTGATCTGTTCACCATCAACATTGCGTGCAGCAGCAACCACAGCCTCCCAGACACTGTTCAG